GACAGTAGTAATTTTGTATTTTGCCTTCTATGAGTCTTTTGAGTACTTTTGATATTCATATACTAGAGCCATTAAACTATAATGAATACTGTATTTATTAATTCTTATGTTTTCCGAGCAACTTGTTACTTTATATCTCTAATCCTGTTTCTTTTAGGAAGTTTTCTGCACTTGATTAAAAGACTTTAAATGATAGAGAACTTGATAGGCTGGTCTATGAGAAACTTTCCCCCCCCACCACCTTTTTTTGGAAGCAAAGTAACTGCAAATGAGTTTTTCCTTCAGTGACACCTCTGGGAATGCTTATCACAACAATGGAATGGACTTTTTTGTTTTCTCTTGAATGCTGGCTCTACTTCTCTTAACCAAAGTGAACAGTGTGCTGAGAAGCTACCAGTGGCATTGAGTCACAGAATCATAGAGTCATAGAATACCAGGTTGGAAGGAACCTCAAGGATCATCTGGTCCAACCTTTCTAGGCAAGAGCACAGTCTAGAAAAGACTGCCCAGCACCCTGTCCAGCTGAGTCTCGAAAGTGTCCAGTGTGGCAGAGTCAACCACCTCCACTTTGAGTGGAGCACCAAAGAATATCAAGGGCTATTTCAAACAAAATTTTGAAACTGCTCAGCAGTTCTTAATCACAGTCTTTCAATTTCGTGCAACTGTAAAAGTAAAAATAAAACTGTGATCTATTTAACTCTTGAGAACCCTTGCTACAGCCTGTGGCCTTGTGAATAGTGCCTTGATACGGGAAGTAAAATGCCCGATTTCCCACAATGACAGCAGTTAGAGAGCATGTGCTAAGCAGCACCATATATCGTCATAAGAATTCAATACCCAGGACATTTTCTGTTCACTGTGCTTGAATTCAGAGGAAGATGAGATAAGGTTAGCAAAACACAGCAGAGATTACTTGTCACTTTAAAGCATCTCCCCATGTTAACTGTTCTGTGCTGTAGGCTCTGAAGTACCAGCACATCCTCCCAGACTGCGCTGAGAAGTAGCAGCTGAACAGTTCAGTAATAAAGTACATGATAACTCAAGTGGGTGCTAGCTACAAGTGCTTGCAAGTATTAAGAATAATACACAAAGTTGAGCCCAACGCTTCCTAAAGCAAAAGGCTGACAGCTCAGGTGGGTGGAGAGGCAGATAGATCAAGAGTGTAATAAGGTAACACAGCTTTCTGTACAGTGTAACGGAGCTGAACAGAGAGCAGCAAAACAATGCCCAGAGCAAGAGCAAGCTCAGAAATTTTTTAATCTTTTCCAGTAGCCAACTCCTCTCTCCTTTCTTACTGCTTTCCACATTGACCCAGGATAAATATCAATTGCCTCAGTCAATCCTATTCCCTTGATCCGAGACATCCTTGGTATGGGTGAGGGATTACAAAACTGGGAAGGTGCAGGTCTGGGCTGCAAATCCATGTCTTCCAGTAAATTTGGAGGAAGCCATCAACCAGCAAGAATTTGTCTACCCACTTTGGTCCCTCAAGAGTTTCCAGGCTCAGGCTTGCTAAGATTTGATGCTTTATAGTCCACCAGAACAATGTCAGTGTAACTGCACAGGTATAACAAGAGATGAGCCAAGGACAACCTAGCACCTAGGATGAACAGCCTGGGAAGCTTAAAAGCTGGCTGCAGTGAGCACCGACCCCCTTAAACTCAGTGGAGAGCTGTGTATCATAGTCTGCTGCTGCTCCTCTCCTCCAGGCTGCTCCAGTGACATAAATCACACGGAAAGATCTTCACAGGGTCAAAACGGAATTGAAAAGTGATTTCAAATATTATGTTACTAAGCAGTAGCACACCGTTGGAAAATAAAATGTAATTTATGTCTCAGCACAGATACAGAATCTGCTAAGCCAGTCTCAGAGAGCACCTCTAGAGCACAAAGCAGAACAGAGTTTATTACAGAGATGACTAGCAACTAAACACACTTCCTTTCTGCGCTTTTTACAACCTAAACATCATCCAATGTATATGTATATCAACTAAAATTTTGGCTTGTCAACACTGCAGTGTTGTAATATAATAGAGAGAGATGATAAATACAGTCTCAAACAACACAGAGGTACGGCTGACACCATTTTTGTCTACCCAATTACAAACAGTTGGATGTTTTAAAGCTATACCGATATGATCTCAGGAGTTAAATTGTAACTTTTAGATCACTTCATATACAGCTGCCTGTTAGATGCATTTTAAAATACTGTATCAGAACATAAAAATTGCACCAGTGGAAAATACTGGTCCATTTAGCTCCACATCACGTGTCCAACAGTGGGATCACTTACAAAAGGAGAAAACTCCAGGACTTTCTGTGGTCATTTCCCCTTCTAACCCACCCAGCATTCAGATGCCAGCATTCAGCTGCAAGAGCCTGGTGTCTGTAGATTGTTTTCAGTCCAAGTACATTGATTATTGTAAAATAGATTTGTCTTTTCTAGACCACTGAAGGTCTGCCACAAACAAAAACAAAACTAGTTTTCCTAATTTTGCCGTTGCTCCACTAAGACACATGAAATACCGGTTTTCAATTAGCGCCCTTTTACCATTCCCTTTTTGACTCACAATGCTCTGCATTTTGAATGCAGAGGGATCCTATGCTCAGGCAATAGCACAGTTTAATATCATTATTGAAGCTGTCTGCAGATCTTGCCAACTTTTTCCAAGAAAAATACAAAAAAATACAGAAAAACAAGGACACATAATTCTAATACTTGCTGTAGAGAAAGTGAACATGAGCACAAAGAAGCAAGCCAGTAAAAACCTGATAAGGCTGACAGCTCATTGCAAAGCATCAGTGAAAAGCTTGGACAAACTTTATTTCTGATTCATGGACTCCCAAACTGAGATCCAAACAAGGTTCGCAAGGATAAAAATAAATAAGAGTATTTTCCTGCAGGACAAACACTTGGTGATACTGACTGTCCAGCAAAGAGAGTGAAGTTTGGAGCCAGAAGTTTATCAAAACGGCAATTTTCCTTTCCTTCCACTTGGCAAAATATAACATTATCTTATCAGAGCAGGTTTCAGAACTTGGACTTTTCGAAAGCTAGGAATTTTTGCTTTTCTTGTTGCTGTAAGAGCACAGATGCTGGGAATCAGCTCAAAATACAGTATCTTTAGGCTGGAATCGTGTTTGCAACCAAGACTGGACATGGTCACATCACCTACTTTGGCACAGAGGTGGATGAACTAAGATCTGCGCAGGCCAGTGCTGGAAGATGTGGGCTGCCACAGTATTTGAGTTCAGCAAAGCACTGCAACACGGGCTTGCTTTCAGTGGTTCCACCCAAATTTGAGCTTGAAAGGCCACAGTCAGAGGGTCTCCCTGTGGCTATTCAACATAACCCTACCCCTGACTTGCTTCTAGGGCCATGGTTCATTTGCAGAGAGAGCCTCATGAAGCTAAAATGACCCAGGAGCAATCAAGCACAATCATGGAGAGTATGACAAGCGAAAAGAAAAGTCTGGTGTTTTGTGTACTGTGAGGTAAAAACCCTTCCTGAGTTTCTTATCTGCACCACTTGATAGCCACTTATCACTTCCTATCTCTACCCAGATATACAAATCAAAGGAAATCCTAAGTGCACAACCTGGGACTGAGTACAGAACAAGACGTACAGCCTCAGCATACAAGAAGAGACTCCTAGTTAACCTATCATGGGTAGAGCAGAGAAGACTACCATAAAATACTGGCAATGTAATGGACAAGGAACACATCCTCCTGGATTAGACAACCAAAATGTTCACTTCCTAATAGGAAACATGGACTATTCAACTGCATGGATAACTAGTACTGGCCAAGCCTTGAAACTTGTAATTTTTATGATCTTGCTCTGCCAGCATCCAGGAGATTCTTCATTTTTATGGCCTCCGAATGTACAACCCAGTAACAATTCTGACCTTGGGTATTAAAACATCATGTTGAAATGACCAATGGCTGCTGCCGTACACAAGAGTTCACCGTACACAGATTCCCTGTTTCCAAGCTCACAAGATGCAAAGGGAGCAGACAATGCAGGTGCATACTTATTTCCTAACATCTAGATGTGTTTTCAGCAGTTGTACATCAGTGTAACTCTATTAAAATCAATTACTTGATTTTGATTTATCACCATATTCTTTCTTGCTCCAAAATTCTACAGTAAGATTATTTTTCAGTAAACATAACTCAGGAACACTAATTAAATGTGCCTTAACTACAAACTGGGAGTACGGACAAATAGAAGCTACTAGATTTTGTGCTATAAACTGTTTAGGACACTCAGTCCCACTAAGATGATGATTCTTCTATAGCTGTCAAAACAATAGGTTCAGGTATGCTTACTGCTCAACAGCTGGTTACTTTAGATTTGCATCAATACACAACTGATGGGCTATGTAACTACAAGGGAAGACAGAAGCATCATAAAAAGGCTGACTTGGTATGCTGTATCATCATGAATTGAGATGTCTGTGCATTTCATTTGTAAAAATCGTATGTCTTCAGACACATGATAAACACAAATCACAGTTTAACATGCCTGCAACAATGTTTTCTTAGGAAAATTTCTGTGACTGCTGAGAACATTAGCAGCGACATACAGAAGAACATTGGACAAAACTGAATGCTTCACTACTAATTTTACAGGTTTTCACCACTGGAAATCTTTATTTTTAGCTGAGGATATTTTTTTTTTTTGAAGCCAAGAAGATTTTCTATAATGATTCCAGCTGCTCCAGCCTAAGTTTCATGAAATTTCTTGAAACATCTAATTTAATTTAAACAGTGACACACTGTTTAAAAATCCAATGACATTTCCTGCCTTGGTCTACATTTAATACAATTGAAGAAACAGAGCACTACAAGAAGTTCTCCATTGCTATATTTAATATAATGGAGAGTCATGCAACTATAGAAGACAAACCTCTACTCTGAAAGGGTTTATGGGCCCCAGGGATCTCTCTTTTTCCTAGAAATAATACCTTTATACTGAAATAGCAGCTGTTCCTTACCTGAAAAGAGTTCATGTATCGAAGTGAAGGTGGCAGAGAGGTGGTACTCAAGCCCAGTATCAGCAGTAATTCCAAACATGTTTCTGATGGAAACTTTATTGGATGAACTCCAATATCATTTTCCCATGCATCAGCAAGGCTACAAAGTTAAAAAAAAATATTTTTAATTCTCTTAAAATGTCTCTAAAACCCAAGTTTCAAATAAATATTAGAATGTGTCATAGTATTGTGATAGAAGATTGCCTTCACATTTCCTCTGTAAGAGTCACAGATAAGTCACAGATAAGATTTTTACCAGAAATAGAAGGTGCATTTAGAGTACCTTATCCATACCACCAATGTTACAAAAAAATACATAATGCGAAAGGAAAACCTCGCATACATTAGAGCAAACCACTCATGTTTCTAATTCAAATTTCGAATATTTCTGAACCAAATCTCATCTGCCACTAGCAATTTCCCATCATACAGTGTTTTTACATATAGAGTATTCTACATAGAACATAAGGCCTCCACTTTTGATTTTGTCTCCAGTGAGAAAAATGTCCTTTCACTTCAGAAAAGACAGGAGGTCAGGCATGATTTTCAAAATTGATGTTTATGATGCTCTCACTGCAGCCTTACTGACAGTCTATACCAAGCAAAAATTCAATCCCATTTCATTTTATACAGCTTTCTGCTTTAGATATATTAAAAGAATTAAGATTTCTAGCACTAAAAACAACATTCTGAAAGCACATTTCTATAAACTGTTGCCGCTACCACATGCTGAAGAACAAGATTAGTTCAACAAGATTAACTGAAAACACAAGAACATTCCACTTCCTTTTGTTCAGGCTCGTTTCTTCCTTAATACACAAATTCTCACACTGAGCAGTGATCCAATTAGTTTAATAATTTTATCTGATTAGCTAGTATCAGATACTCCAGAGCAAGACAGATGCCAATTATTCTCAGCAGATCTGATCACTTTGGAAGACAACGCTCGCCATCCTTCCAGGTCCACGACTTCACGATTTCCATAAGTAATTTTAGCATCAGCTTTCACTTTTAAATTCCTCCAGCTCTTCTGGAAATATCATACTCTGACTGAACCGTTTGTGGACACATCATCTTGCTTTAATATCCTATCTAGAAATAGCTGAATTTTTTTAAGCACCTAAAAGTGTAGGCATCACCCCAACATTCACCACAGTGAAAACTAAGCAAATACTCTTTTCAAAGTATCTGTGTCCTTCTGGATGATTCTCATTCCCTCAAGTCTCCCAAACCCACTGATTCTCTGTAAAGTCCTGCTTCTTAGGTTTAAGCCACATATGCACTTTTGGTACATGTTTCCATTATTTACTCTACCTATCAGCCTCTTAGCTCTTCTAGAAGATGTTCTACTCAGCATAATTTACACATCTTTCTTCAAAGAGTGGGTGTACTTTCACTTTTTTACCTCCAATTGTCTTAAACTAGCCTCTTAAATTTTAACTGTTTTTTTTCTTAACCTTTACATTTTCTCCTCATTCCTCATTTATCTATGAGTATGTAAGAATCTGCTTTTGCGTCCATATGCAGAAACAAGACCCATAATGCACACACATCTCCTTAAAAAAACAGGAGTGCTTTTTCTCACTTTTTTTTTTTAAGATCCAAAATAAAAGACGCAGAGAATTGTATCACTTCTAAATTACAAAAAGTACCATGTCTTTTCTCAACTCTCACCAAAGTGAGTGAGTCACTTTGACATAACGAGCTCTAAAATGTACATGGTAAGGAGAAGGAGGAAGGCTGGCTGGGCTAGGCACCCTTTAGCACTCCTAATGGCAGGGCACCACTTACGGTCTCCACATGTGGCTGAGACCATATCAAAGAACAGAGGCCAAAACCTGCTGCATGTTAACAGCCTTCATTAAAGGTAGCGTGTCACCGGAAACTTACACTGCACCAGATGGATCTGGAAAAGCTGTTTCAGGCTACCACAAAAAATCCCTGCGTCCTCAGACAGGAAGGTGAGCCGTTCGGAAGACACCCCAGACTATTTTCACCATGGAAAGGCATAAACCTTCAGTTAAGTCCCAAATACTTTGTCTATATTGAAAGGAAGCAGGATTCTTTTAAAAGACTATGTGAGTGGCCAAGCCCAGGAAAGGCAGCCTGACTGGTCCAGATTCTGTAAATGCTCCAGGAGGAACGTCTAGCTGTGCTGCTTTTGGCTGGGATAGAGTTAATCTTCTCCATAGTAGCTACTATGAGTCTATGTTTTGGATTTGTGCTGAAAACAGTGTTGATAACACAGGGATGTTTCAGTTATTGCTGAGCAGGGCTTACAACAGAGTCAAGGCCTTTTCTGCTTCTCACCCCACCCCACCAGCAACAGTCCTTTTTGGTGCCCAACGTTAGGCTTGAAGGGGTTGAGATAATGACAGATTTGATTGGAATGTGCTAGATGGAATTTATAGCTGTTATTGCTGTTTAGCTATTAATCAGCAGGCTCCTGTGCTTGCCATGGGGCTTGCTTGCCTTATTGTACATTAGTGTCTGGTGCTCGTTAGTGGCTGCTTTTTGCTTTTGCTGCTTGCCATATGGCTGTACTGCTGATCATCTCACTCTGTTGTGCCTGGGAACGTTTTGATAACTGCCATGGCCATGCGCCTGGGCTGGGGGACAGCCAGGGCATCGCTCCTATTTCTGTGCTGCTATACTGGACAGGCTGGACCTCCAGTATGAACTTGAGTTGAAGGGACTGTGACCTGTGGATGAGTCCATGTGGGAGCAGGACACCCTAAAGCATCTGTGGCCATGGATAAGTCCACACCAAAGCAAGTATATCTTAAAGCATCTGTGGCTGTGTGCAGCAGGTACACCTCTGAAGGGACTGTGGCTCAAGGAAAGTCCATGTTGGAGAAGGTATACTTCGAAGCATCTGTGGCTGTGGATAAGTCCATGCTGCAGCAGGTACACCTTGAAGCATCACTGGCTGTGCAAGAGGTCACGCTAGAACACCTCAAAGTGTGTGGCCATAGATAAAGCCCATAACAGAGCAGGTACACCCCTGGAGGGACTGCAGCCATGTTGGAGCAGGTACATCTTTGAAGGCATTGTGGCCCATGGAGAAGGCCATGCTAGAACAGGTGCACTTCAAAGCAACTGTGGCTGTGGATAAGTCTCTGCCACAGCAGGTATAACCCTGGGAGACTGAAGCTCAGAGCTCCACATGGAGCAGGTACACCCCTAAGGGACTGCAGTCTGTGGATAAGCCCAAGCTGGAGCAGGGGCAAGGGGAGGAGTTCATTGCAATGTTAAATTTGATGGTCTGGTCCAAAGGGATCAGGGGTGGAGACTGTAATGGAAATACCTTTAAATTGTTGTAACGCATGATTTGAGTTGTGTGTTACGAGAATTACTACGGCAGGAACCACCTGAACCCATGGAGGACAAGCCTTACAAGAAGCAGTGCAAGTGCAGCAGTGACCTGACCTGAGCTGGCTTTGGTACCCAGTAACTCCACGCAACACACCACCTCTCCTGTCCTGAGTGACCACCGTAATAGATGGAGCCCCAAGTCATGGACTAAATGAATTCAATGGACATTTTGTGGAAATTTTATGGACATTTTACAGAGGTGGTCCACAGACTGGGGGAATGATATCTCTGTATTATACCAAAGGATGGGAAGGGGGGTGGTGGTTAATGAGGCTGTATTGGATAGTGTGGGACCTGAGCATGACGTAAACAGTGTGGAATAAGGGGTGAAGAATGTGCTGGGTTTGGCTGGGGTAGAGTTAATTTTCTTCATAGTAGCTGGAATGGGTCTATGTTTTAGATTTGTGCTGGAAACAGTGTTGATAATACAGAAATATTTTAACTATTGTTGAGCAGTGCTTACACAAAGTCAAGGCCTTTTCTGCTTCTCACACCACCCCACCGGTGAGTAGGCTGGGGTGCACAAGAAGTTGGGAAAGGACACAGCTGGGACAGATGGCCTCAACTGACCAAAGGAATCTTCCATACCATATGATGTCATTTTCAGCATATAAAACTGGGGGAAGAAAAAGGAAAGGGGGGATGTTCAGAGTGATGACATTTGTCTTCCCAAGTAACTGCTAGGTGTGATGGAGCCCTGCTTTCCCGGAGATGGCTGAACACCTGCCTGCCGGTGGGAAGTAGTGAATGAATGCCTTGTTTTGCTTTGCTTGCATGCACGGCTTTTGCTTTCCCTATTAAACTGTCTTTATCTCAACCCACGAGTTTTCTCACTTTTACTATTCCGATTCTCTCCCCCATCCCACATGGAGGGAGGGAGCAAGTGGCTGTGTGGTGCTTGGTTGCCAGCTGGGGTTAAACTATGATACTAGCTCTAGATGACAAGCACTGAGCAGCCAGCAACCAAGGAGTCTTGTTAATTGCAATGCAAAATAGAGCTTTATATTTCACTGGTAACTTCATTTCCACAAATAATTAGAAACTTATCTTCATATGTTCCTTAATAGGCCTTTGTTTGACTTTTTTTACAATCTTGTCTGGTGACACTGGCAAATTTAGGTGAAGCTAGCAAAGTTGGGGCCTTCAATTTTTCAGAAATCGGCAAGTCTAAACAAAGCACTCTGCAGGCACCTTCAGACACAACTAAAGAGTCTGGGGGCTGGAGGTGGTATATTAAGGTTCTGGGTCTTGAGGAGGTGTTTCCACAGATCAACACCCTCTCTGAAAAGGAACTTTTCAGAAACTCCAAGCAATATTCAAAACGTCACAACTTACTTTAGTACCCTGATTCTATTCTTGTGTTTTGACTTGAGGATTTTTTGGAGCTGCCTCCTCATTTTAAAGTCCAACTCTTACAGCCCTGACCTTGCACTAGAATTTTTTTTTTTTTGGCTGTTGGTTTATTTGGGGGAAAGACTGTTTGTAGAATCATAGAATGTTTTGGGTTGGAAGGAACCCCTAGAGGCCATGTAATCCAACCCCCCGGCAGGGAGCAGGGACACCGCTAACTAGATCAGATTACTCAGAGCGCCATCCAACCTGGCCTTGAATGTTTCCAGGGATGGGGCCTCCACTACCTCTCTGGGCAACCTGTTCCAGTGTTTCACTACCCTCGTTGTAAAGAATTTCTTCCTTATATCCAGTCTAAACCTATCCGGTTTTAGT